TAGTAGTAGTAGCAGTAGTAGTAAGGCAGAGGCACCGAACTCCGACGCATCGCATGGGGCTACCGTTGGGCCATCACAACAAGCCACTGCGTCACGGCGAGTTGGGCGAGGAACCCGGCCAGCCCAACTCGATTTGCGCCTCTCAGTCTCTCCTGCCGAGTCTGCCATCACCCTGTCAAGGGCAAACATCAGCACAGCTGAAGCTTACACCAAGGATCATCTATGTGTTTGCCATCCTCTTACGGCAACTGACGCAGAGCAGGGCGCACAATCCGGTTGAACTGGTATGCTGCATCAGCTTCAGTTAGCAGCATTTGCCCTGCGAGGCCACGACGTTGGACCAAAGTACTTCTCCTCAGTGTCTCATTCCATGATGACTCTTTTGCGGGACCCTGAGTGCTGAAAGGGCATGCAAAGGACCATACGATTCCCGTGCTTGTTGCTGAGTCTGAACGGCATCGTGCCCAACCAAGCCAGCATCATTAACGAAGTTGGTGCGGGCCGCAGCCGCAGCCTTGTGATGCCTCAGCCGAGAGACGCTTTTCAAAGGCGTGGCCTCGTGGGCCTTTTGGTTGATCTTGGTGCTGCTTGGCTGCAACGACCTCTGCAAAGCCGGGGCGGGGCGACCCTTACAATGCCTAAGGTGCTTTGTGCTGCTGGCATCCGTGACTCAGCATTGAGCATGCGGGACGTAGAGTCCTATTGGTGGAGTTGAGTGTAGATGACTGAGGTAACCATCATGTACATGCTGGTCGGGGTGCTCGTGGAGGTCATGACTGTCATCTCTGCCACTGAAAAGGAGGGTATGACTGTGTCTGCCGACAGCAGTGAGCCCGACCACCTTTCCTGGATTTCTTTCGATTTGAACCTTGCTGATAGCTGCAAGCAGATAGTTTCAAGTGCATTGTGGCAAATCTCTGCTTGGGTGCGACTCAGGTCTTATATTGCCTCAACTCTACGACAGCTCATGCAGCAGCTCAATTACAGCACTGCTTCCTGGGCAGCACCAAGTCACTCAAGCATTTTGGGAAGAATGTGCAGAAAAACTGTGGCCACATTGGTATTCCCTGCACGCCCAGTGATGCCGCGCAGAATTCTCTCGAAACAATCAGACGCTGAGAGCACATGTGCACATCATGCCGTGCTGATGCCTAGAGACTTTGCCTTGTCATCCGGTAGCATCGAACACGGTATGTTGCTTTCAAATGCTGTGAACGGAGCTCGGACCACTTCTTTGACACTGCAAGCCGATCATGCTTGTCTTCTAGAAAAAGCTTCAGCACAGCCGTGAAGAATGGCCTGCAGTCGGGACGAAGAAAGTATCAGTGTTAGTGTCTTCACTTTGGTCCCTTCCGGAAACTACGTAGGTTGGAGTGGGCTGTAGGACCACTGTAGGATGTGTAGGGCACTTGTTTTTTCGATTTGGGTCCAACACTGGTCCAACCTAAGGTGGAGTTGTAGTATGTCAGGCCAGTTGTTGTGAAGCCTTGCCGGCCTCGTGTGAGAGTCAAAATTATCGTGCTTTCAGTTTTGCTCGAGATGTTCATGTTAGCGCCCGAGCGTGACAGTGACCGCACCGTCACTGTCGTGATACCAAGGAGGTGCCGCTATCCCAGCGTGAGTTCCAAGCTCTGTTGGTCGAGGAGGAGCATCCTGGACTTGCAGATTTGAAAGTCTAGAATCTAGAATGGAAAGGCGTCTTGATCTTGTTTCAGAAGCTAGGCATTGGGCAAAAAGCAGCTTTCATGAAGCATTTCGTGGCCGATCTCTGTAAGTCTGCCTTTGTTGAGTTTGCTCAGACTCGTCTGGTCGTACATCAACGGACATAGACGGAGTTTGCGACTGATGACGACTGATAGTGACATTTGCCCGGAAGCCTGCTGTGCCTAGGGTGGACCGTCTCCTGAGCGGGATGGGGGTTGACGTCGTAGCGCTGCTTGGATGTGATATTTCCCCTTTTACTGGGACCTCCCAGAAAAAATTGTCGAAAGTTGCAGCAACCCACCCGCCCAGGCTCGTCGATACGGCCGACGACCGGGGCTTATTGCACAGGGGCTGGCCAACACTCCAGCAAACCCGGTCCGCTGATGAGCAGAGAACACTGCTTTCAAGGTCATCTATGAGGACATGAACAAAATGGGAAAGAGCACCTTGAGCTGCACATGCGATTCCGACCAGGGTATTGAAGTGCGACTGTGCGAGGGAGGAATGTCAGATAAGTCAATCCATAATGCGGTGTTCCGAGCACGCTTGCCAAGATGCGTTTCCAAAGGCATGACCTTTGAGAACTTGGTCGACACGATTCTCAACCTTCGTGGCAAGAACACGGCCACGGTGAAGGCCTGGATGGTTTGGAATCTGGGTCCGATCAACTTGCGGAATCATCACAGCACCTGGACAGGATGTCAAGGAGCAAGCTCGTGTCATCAAGGCTCTTTGCTGAGCTGAGCACGTGTAATGAGTCACATCGGAGATGCCGGTACGAGCGCGGTTCTGCCTCTCAGTCCATGGTGCAGCACACCCTGAATGCAAACGGCAACAAGGCAAGGGGAGAAGCCCTCTCTGCAGACGCATTCCGGAGTGCAGCTTTCTCTCGGAAGGTGATGGAGGAGTTCCAAGTCTTGCGTGAAAAACTCAGAGAAAGAGTGCCGAGCGAGCGGCCTGCTGGTGAGAGCCGGAGCTTTGTGCCTTGCCTTTGGGCCCTTCGGAAAGGCACGGAGCTTGCGGCACTTCGGGAAGAAGCCCTGCGACGAGCAACTTAGCGTGTCCAGCTTCCTCACCGATCTTGTGTTTCCCACTCCTTCCAATTCCGGTCGCCACTTCTGTAGATCAGCGAGATGCTCAGGACGAGGATGAGGATGCAGAGGCAGATGCTGCTCGGAATGTTCCAAGTGGGTTCCTTGCATGTATTGGCAAATGACAGAGGGAGGCCCGCCTGAGGATTTCAATGGTCTTGGATTTCAGATGGAGGAGACGGAGCCTTTCCCTGCCAACTCGCGTGCCTTGTCTGGGAGATACCCACCTGGCTCTGCTTAGCTGCTTAGCTCCTCGTCTGCTAAACCAAGGGGGGCTGGACACGGAAGAGCCTTTGCCAGGAGCGCTCCTTCCTTCAGCTTCTTCTTTTGCTTAGCTTCTCCCAAGCAGGAGGCGACGTGAGCGAGGCCCCGGAGCCAGAGGAAGTCTAAGCCACCGGGCCGACGGCCCACCGCCCACAGAGGCCGGAGAGGACAGGGGAGGAGAAAGTGAGTTATAGCACTTGGAGCAGGGCATGAATCATACGAATGGAATCGGAAACACGGCCTTACTCTATTGAGTTAGACTTGCAAGCCCCGACCAACAGAAAGTTTGTCTCGCTGCCGTTGGGGTGTGGCCCTGGTATGAGGTTTTCCGGCATTCCGGAGTGGCGGCTATCACCAGCTACGAGCTGGCCAGAGTCGAAGAGTACTTCGTGGCCCGACCAGGGGCTTTCAAGAATTTACCTGGTGGAGGGCGCGACCTTCACTTATCGGAATTCTGCGGCTACTTTGCTTGTTGGCTTGTTGCCGAAAAGGCGTACTGGACCAAGGCATAAATGCCGTAAAATGTATCTTACTGTAGTCGATGGATACTCCGCGATCCTGAATTCCATGGAGCATCGATGCAGTGTTTTGGCCCTACTGTGACCTTATTGATCTGATGAAGATGGTTCGTGGAGACACGATGGTCCCGAGCTTGGAACACCCAGAAATTCGATTTAGAAAGAGCTGAAGCCGGGGCCATCAGAATTGAAGCGGTAGACCCCGGTAGACTTCTTCTTCCCTCCTGCTGCGAGAAAAACTCGGGCCGCCGGTGCAAATCAGCTGCACATCATCGTGCTGATCTGCTTGGCGACGAAAATGGGAGGGGCGCCAAAGGCGCTACGCAGAACGCAGAGGGTGTCAGAACGAAAGACACACCCTGGACTCAGTGTCGAAGACGTTGTGCTCAACGGGCCAAAGATGCATCACCTGCGAGCTCTTAGCTTCCTGGTGCATTTGTGGGTTGCATGAGCTGTTGCAGCACCAGATGTCAAACGATGCCCTTACCGAAGTGAACAGGTGCGCATTCGTCCCAGAAGGCAAGCATGCCCGACCTGCTGTTGTTCAGTCGCACTCCAGAACCGTGAAACCGCATTTCAGAGTGGACATTTTCCGACATGTGTTTACAAGTGCACTTGCGGAATCCAGCCAGACGTGCCACATTTCAGCATTTTCAGCACTCCCATCAGAGACCGCAAAGAAGGCGCAGAGTCCCGCAAACCCCAAAACTGGGAAAGCCATAGTTGTGTTCTTAGGTGGTTCTAGTTGTATTTACTGTGTGCATTAGTTTGCTCTGGTGACTCTAGTGTCTCCGTTGTGTTAGGCCTCTGCAGGATTCAGGTTCGGGCTCTTCAGACTTCAGCAGTGTCAACCACCAGGGATTTGCACGGACACTGGTGATCTTTGTCAGATTGGCTGATGGTCACCGGAAGCAAGCCACGTCTCGCTAGCCTGCTGTTGCATGTAAAGTAACGCAATCCATCCCAGATCGAGAGTCCCTCCGTACAGCATGGCATAGAGCCACCACATGCGGTTCGAGGTCATGGTAGGAATTGGCACACAAACAAAGCCGAGATGCATGGCAGCGCTGTAACTAATTACGACACCATGAAAGCATCCAGTGGCACGGAAGGAAACAAAGGAGGAAAGGTTGAAGATAATGTAGCTGCGGCCGAATTGATTCGCAGCCCCATCGCATGTCAGGCTCACTGGCCACAGGCAACAGTGAAGCAAACGAACCAACAGGACATGTTGAACGCAATGTGAAACGAGCGCCTCAGCAGCTTGGGATCATGGCGGAGCCAGGCCAGTGTCTGTCTGTCTCTCTCTCTCT